TCGAAGTCACAAACCATGAGATCATGACCTGAGCTGAAGTCGGACGCTTAACTGACTGAGCCACCTTGGCATCCCAAAGTACCTGATATTTTACAGAACATATGCTTGGATAAACTAGAGAGCCTCATGTATAAACATTTTGTTTTAGATTTCATGGTTTTTTTTTTAATAGTAATAATTCCTTATGCTGACAAAACATCTTCTAAGATTCTAAGTACTGGCACTTAAAAAATGTGTTTGTTTCTGAATATCTCCAAAAAGTTGGTACACTTATACTTATTTGGGAGGGTGGTGGAGAAAAGACCAACAATTTGCATAGGCCTATTGCCCAATCTACAAAGAGTAAAACAGAAGCTAACTTAAATGGCTTCCATGTGCCTGGTACTTTATCTGAGTTTTCTCATTATATATTCACATATAATTCTCATTATATATCCATAACCTTATGAGTTAGATCTTATTGTTGCATTTTATAAGTGGGTGAGCTGAAATCCATAGAGGAGTTGACATGTCTTAAGTTTACACAGCTAGAGATCAGAGCTAGGATTCATATGTAGGTCTATATTCACACTATCTCTTACAACATCTGGGTTTTATTTGAAAATTAGTTTTAAGTTGTTTCTTTCTTTTCTTTTTTTTTTTTTTTTTTTTTTTTTTTTTTTTTTTTAGTTTATTTATTTATTTTGGGAGAGAGAGCGGGGGAGGGGCAGAGAGGGAGGGAGAGAGAGAATTCCAAACAGGAATTCTGTGCTCACAGCACAGAGCTGACACAGGGCTGGATCCCATGAACCACGACACCATGACCTGAGCTGAAATTCAAAGTTGTACGCTTTACTGAGCCACCCAGGATCCACTCTCTTACATCTTCACTACTGACTTTCTGTTGGATATTTATACAAAAAGCAATGCTTCTATATATTAAAAAATTGGTTACATCTATACATACTGATGTAGAAATGTACTTGGAACATCTTTGTATGAAAAATCAAGTTGCAGAATTGTGTGTATGTATAGATATAGACACACACATACACATTTATATAAACTATGACTGCATTTCTATAAACACACACATAGCTCACACCCCACAGGAATGGAATTATGAGACCTTTACTTTCTAACTTACACATTTTTATAATATTGGGAAATATAATGATTTTTATTATTTTTATGGTTTATCTTTATTTTGTAACAAAAGAAGTGTACTCCAAAATAAAACTAGGGGCTCCTGGGTAGCTCAGTTGGTTAAACATCCAACTTCAGCTCAAGTCATGATCTCGTGGTTCATGGGTGTGAGCCCCACATCAGGCTCTGTGCTGACAGCTCAGAGCCTGGAGCCTCTTCAGATGTGTCTCCCTCTCTCTCTCTGTTCCTCCCTCACTTGCGTGCTCTCTCTCTTTCTCGCTCAAAATAAATAAATAAATATTTATAAGGAAAAAAAGAAAGAAAGAAAACAAAACCATGAGGCCTATGAGAGAGAGAGCCATATCAAATATTTATTCATGGAAGTGTCAGAAAATAATAGAGCAGAGTAGGCAAAGTCTGATTTTCAAAGAGCAAAATTACTGCCCAAACTTGCCACATACACTTAGGACAACAGTTCCAAATCCCAAGTGTTCAGGGCGTAATTTTCCCACGTAGAAAAAATTCAGGCTCTTTGGCCTCTTCTTTCTCTGTCAGCTGAATTTTCACCTTTATTAAACTTTAAATAAACTGGGTCAAAAGGAAAGAAAATAGGAAGTAGAGTCATTGTTGTTTTCTGTGCAGTGGATTGAATAGATTTTCCCTGTTTCCCAATGATACTCCCCAGTGGGGAACCACTGTTCATTTTCTTGGATGAACTTCCAGGAATGTTCTGTTCATTTAAAAATATAGCTTGGGGGGGGGCACCTGGGTGGCGCAGTCGGTTAAGCATCCGACTTCAGCACGATCTCGCGGTCCGTGAGTTCGAGCCCCGCGTCGGGCTCTGGGCTGATGGCTCGGAGCCTGGAGCCTGTTTCCGATTCTGTGTCTCCCTCTCTCTCTGCCCCTCCCCCGTTCATGTTCTGTCTCTCTCTGTCCCAAAAATAAATAAATGTTGAAAAAAAAATTAAAAAAAAAAATAAAATAAATAAAAATATAGCTTGGGGTGCCTGGGTGGCTCAGTTGGTTAAGCGTCCGACTTCAGTTCAGGTCATGATCTCGCAGTTTGTGAGTTCGAGCCCCATGTCGGGCTCTGTGCTGATAGCTCAGAGCCCGGAGCCTGCTTCAGATTCTGTGTCCCCCTCTCTCTCCACCCCACCCCAGCTTGTGCTCTGTCTCTCTCTGTCTTTCAAAAATGAATAAACATAAAAAAAAATTTAAATATAGCCTTAAAATTTTATGTTAAGAGAAAAATCTCCAAATGCCATCTGATTTCAAGTTCTTGCTTCTAGTGAAAACTGTTGAAATATAATTTTTCTTGATAACTGAATTTTATAGCATTTATGAAACATAAGCAAGGATTTGAAAAATAAGCTCAGATTGCTTCATAGTGGAGAAATATTTGGGGCTTAAAAATTTGTTGCTCCTGCCAACTGAGAAGGGGCAAGAGAAAAGTATTTGGGTCAAAGGAAACTTTAGCTTTACATATTTAAATAAATCATGTCTTCTGTTCCACTAAACCCAGAAGTTTTAATAGGCAATACTGCTTGATCACAGAACATATAAATCAAACCTCTGAGTTATAATATCATCTCTGATGCTGAGTAAGTGAGACTAAGCCAGCTGAGGACAGTTTTCCTGCTTTCTTGAGAGGTACATGTTAATTTAGCTCATGTTAACATTTGGTAACACTTTTGGTAACATTTGGTAACATTTGGTAACACTTTTACTCTTTTCTATTTTCTAATCTCTTTTCATGGAATGAAACATAGTTTTTCATTCCATCTTTTACTAGAGCAAAGCATTTCTCTAAGCAAAGTATTAGCTAGTCTAAATAGAACTTCAGTACACTTCTTCCAAAGTAAGTGACGTCCTTGCAAATTTAGATGCTTTTCAGCTTGGCTTAAAAACATGCTTCGTGTTTTAAGGATGAAGCAAGTAGAGTAGATTTCCTTGAAATTGTTTTATGTGTAAGGATATAACAATTCTTATTAGTGTATAAGAAGCTAGTAGATTGCATAGTACAGTGGCATAGCCTACTATAGAACATTGACTTTCAAGTGAGATCTTTATTTGAATCCCTGTCATAACACTTGCTGCGGGCCCCTGAGGAAGTTACTAAAATTCTGAATTTCACCTGTAAAATGGGGTTAGTAAAACCCCCATCATAAGACAGTTTTAAATATTAAATAAGATGACAATGTGCATTGCTTAATATATTCTGCACAGTAGGCACTCAATAAACCATAACAATTACTGTTACATTTTAAGGTAAGAACATTCTTAAAAACAGTTCTTAAACTTCTCAATGACTTCTGAAAGAATAGAATAGCCCATGTTTATTTTAAATTTCTATTTGGATTATTGGATTTCAAACCTACCCAAGATTAACATGTAGCATTTATTCTGCTTCCCCGGTGTTTTAAAACGGTGAAGGAGATGATCATATGAAACAAAAAGATAATCTGCTTTCCATATTTTTAGTACTTATGAATTGTGATTATAAACACCATAAAAATAAGTGTAATAAGACCTCTCCTGTCTGCCTCATTTGCTTATTATAGGGATCAAATGAAACAACATAAATGAAATTGCCATGTAATATACCAAGTACTGGCACACAAAGACAAAATATCATAGTATCAATATTACAAGTAGTAATGTTACCATTAGCTACTAATTATTGTGTATTCACTATGTGCCACTGTTATAAATGCTCTTCAGAGAGCATTTCTTTAAGTTTTTGTTTTAATTCCAGTTAGTTAATATACAGTGCTGTATTAGTTTCAGGTGTACAATATAGAGATTCAACAATTCCATACATCACCCAGTGCTCATTACAAGTGCACTCCTTAATCCCCAGCACCTCTTTCACCCAACTCCTCACCCACTCCCCTCTGGTAACCATCAGTTTGTTCTCTAGAGTTGACTCTGTTTCTTGACTTGTCTCTGTCTCTTTTTTTCTCCCCTTTGCTCATTTGTTTAGTTTCTTAAATTCCACATATGAGTGAAATCACATGGTATTTGTCTTTCTCTGACTTATTTAGCTCAGCATAGTATTCTCTAGCTCCGTCCATGTCTTTGCAAATGGCAAGACTTAATTCTTTTTTATAGCTGAGTAATACTCTGTTATATCCATATATATATATATATATACACACACACACACACACATACATACCACCTCTTCTTAATCCATTCCTCAATAAGTGGACACTTCTGGCTGCTTCCATATCTTGGCTATTGTAAATAATGCTGCAATAAAAACAGGGATGCATCTATGTTTTCGAATTAGTGTCTTTGTTTCTTTGAGTAAATATCCAGTAGTTCCATTGCTGGATCACAGGGTAGTTCTATTTTTAACTTTTTGAGGAACCTCCATACTGTTTCCATAGTGGCTGCATCAGTTTTCATCCCCAATAGCAGTACAAGAGGTTTGGTTGCTTTTTATCCACATCCTTGCCAACACTTGTTTTTTGTGTTTTTGACTTTAGCCATTCTGTCAGGTGTAAGGAGATATCTCATTGTAGTTTTGATTTGCATTTCCCTGATAGTAAGTGATGATGAACACCTTTTCATGTCTGTTGGCCGTCTGGATGTCTTCTTTGGAGAAATGTCTGTTCATGTGTTCTGCCTATTTTTAATTGGATTATTTGGTTTTTGGTATCTGTTTGTACCCCAAAACATTGTATTTTGGATACTAATCCTTCTTCAGATATGTCATTTGCAAATATCTTCTCCCATTTGGTAGGTTGTCTTTTAGTTTTGTTGATTGTTTCCTTCACTGTGCAGAAGCTTTTTATTTTGATAAGTCCCAATAGTTTATTTTTGCTTCTGTTTCCCTTGCCTCAGGTGACATATCTAGATAAAAGTTGCTATGGCTCATGTCAAAGAGGTTACTGCCTGTGTTCTCTTCTAGGATTTTTATGGTTTCAGGCCTCACATTTAGGTCTTTAATCTATTTTGAATTTATTTTTATGTATGGTGTAAGAAAGTGGTCCAGTTTTATTCTTTTTCGTGTTGCTGTCCAGTTTTCCCAACACCATATGTTGAAGAAACTTTCCTTTTTCTATTGGATATCCTTTCCTGCTTTGTTGAAGATTAATTGACCATATAGTTGTGTGACTCTGCAGAGAGTCTTATTTAATATTCACAGAATCCTTATAGGTAGATATTTATCCCCATTTTAGAATTGAAGATACAGAACAGTGCTAATTAGATTTGAGTCCAGAACTCTGACTTCAAAGCTCACATTCTTAACCACTGTATTTCTGATAGGTAAATGGGCTAGGAAGTAAAAGATAAAATCTATGCAAAATTAAATCTAGAATTCTAGCTTGTTATTTCAATACTTTTTCTAGGCTATCAAATTATGTGTTACAAGTTATTTGAAAGTGTGACTATTAGAAAGTAATTCTTTTTTAAGCTCATATGTGTAACTGTTATTTCTACTCTTTCAAAAATGCCTTATTCATAAAGAAATTGTGGTTTATATATACAATGGAGTACTACGTGGCAATGAGAAAGAACGAAATATGGCCCTTTGTAGCAACGTGGATGGAATTGGAGAATGTGATGCTAAGTGAAATAAGCCATACAGAGAAAGACAGATACCATATGTTTTCACTCTTATGTGGATCTTGAGAAACTTAACAGAAACCCATGGGGGAGGGGAAGGAAAAAAAAAAAGAGGTTAGAGTGGGAGAGAGCCAAAGCATAAGAGACTCTTAAAAACCGAGAACAAACTGAGGGTTGATGGGGGTGGGAGGGAGGGGAGGGTAGACGATGGGCATTAAAGAGGGCATCTTTTGGGATGAGCACTGGGTGTTGTACGGAAACCAATTTGACAATCAATTTCATATATTAAAAAAAAAATACCTTATTCATAAAACACACAGCACAGAAGTTCCTGGGGCACCTGGGTGGCACAGTCGGGTAAATGTCCATCCCTTGATTTCAGCTCAGGTCATGATCTCACAGTTCATGAGTTCGAGCCCCACATCAGGCTCTGCACTGACAGCATGGAACCTGCTTGGAATTCTGTCTCCCTCTTTCCCCACCACCACTTTTCAAAAAATAAATAAATAAACATTAAAAAATACTTAAAAAAATAAGTTTCTATACCTTATCTAATTCTCTATGTGCTGCTTGACAGAGGGAAAAAATGTATTGGTAAGACTGTGGGTCTGAAAACAAAAAAGAAGTTCTGTGATACCACTCTTCAAATTATTAAGTTTAATGTAAGTTGAGAACTTGACAGGAGGATATTTCTGCCACAGATTTTACATGCATCTAGATTAATGATGGCCTCAGAGACACTTGTATATTCAAATATGAAGAAAAAAACCCTTTCATTAAAAAAAAATTTTTTTAATGTTTATTTTTGAGAGAGAGAGACAGAACACGAGCGGGGGAGGGGCAGAAAGAGGGAGACCCAGAATCAGAAGCAGCCTCCAGGCTCTGAGCTGTCAGCACAGAGCCCAACACGGGGCTCAAACTCACCAACCATGAAATCATGACCTCAGCCAAAGTCGGCACTTAACTGACTGAGCCACCCAGGCGCCCCCCCAAAAAACTGTTTTCAAATGCTAGCAGCAGACAATAAAAAATCCTGGTGTGCTGTAGGGAATACAACCCAAGCAGAAGACAGGACGTCAAGAATGGAAAATCAATAAATGCTATGAAGTCCATGTGCGTGTTTATGTTCCAATAATAGCATACGTTCAAATTAAAATAGGGATGATTTACGTAAGTTTAGTTTTTGAAACAAAGTTAAATGCATTTAGAAAATGGTAGACTTTACCTCCTTCTCTTTGAACTATGTGATAGAGGTGGACATTGTGTAGAATACATTCCAGGTCATGGTCTGTGTGGCCTTTGTCACGCATGTCATCCACCGAATCAGGGTAGATGACTTGATCGCGAAGACTCCCAAGAGACATGTATGGCCTATAAAACACCAACCACATAAGAATCCTCGTACAAAGCCATTTTAGTTTACTCAGTGTGACGTTCTTGTGGTCTGAAAACTCGAGAGCACGTTTTAAATACTGTATTTCTAGAATTACATTTATTACCTGGTGACGAGTATTTCTCTCTCAGGCATGACAGGATAATACTCTGTTATGTTCCTGTAAAAATTTACTGAGACATAGCCACAAAGAAAAGTTTCCTCAAGGAATAGCTGGATACTTTCACACAGAAACACATATCTTGTTTCACTGTATTTTATAAACATTGCTTCTGTAATCCGTCTAAAATTATTTGAGTTAAATATTATAAAATTTGAGGTTTTGGCCCAGAGACGTGCCCAAGCAAAACTTAAAAAAAAAATACCATTAATTAGGGGCACCTGGGTGTCTCAGTTGGTTAAGTGTCCAACTCTTGACTTCGGCTCAGGTTGTGATCTCAGGACTGTGAGATCAAGCCCCACATTAGGCTCCACGCCCAGCTTGAGATTCTCTCTTCCCCTCTCCCTTTGTTCCTCCCCTGCTTACCCTCTATCCCTCTCTCTAAAAGAGAGAGACAGAGACAGAGAAATGCCATTAATAATAAAATGAGTGCAAATTAAAACTACACTGGGCTTCTTAGTTTTCAGATGGTAAAAGTTCAAAAACTTGACAACTTACTCAACTAGCAACCTATGGAGAAATAGGTCGTCTCAAACACTGGTGACAGTGAAAAAATGCACAGCGTTTTGGAGGGGATTTGGCAAACCATCATATATTTTGGCCTTTGAACCACTTCTGGCAATTTATTCTAAAGATATACTTCAAAAATTACAAAGTGTGTAAGGCTATCCATTACAGCATTATCTATAATTGCAAAATATTGAAAACAACCTAAATGCCCATACAAAGGAGACTGAAAAAACTACAGCATCTACACTGTGGAGCTGTAAAACAGGATGTGGACCATCTCTACAGAGTGATTTTCCAAAAAATATTTTTATGTTGAAAATCAAAGTGCAGAAGTAGATGTATAGCAGGGTTTCTCAACAGCAGCATTATGGATAAATGAAACCAGTAATTCTTTGTTGTTGAGGGCTATCTTATGTATTCTAAATGTTTAGCAGCCCACCTGGTCTCCACCCACTAGATGCCCCTCCCCCAATAAAGAGTCTCCAGACATTACCCCCTACACCAAACCATCCCCATTTGAGAACCACTAATATACAATATACTACCTTTATACAAAATGAAAGCAAAATGAGAAACTATACATTTATCTGCTTATATTCATAAAAGGAAACAAAGTAAACCAGAAACTAATAAAATTGGTTACCTACTAGAGATTGGAGAAACAAGGCAGAATGGATAGGGGAGGGAGTGGCCTAAGTATCCTTTCTATATATTTTTACTTTTAGAATCATGTTAAAATGTCATTGTTCAAAAAAATAGCATTAAACCAATAAGGGTGAAGGAAGAAACCTTAACATTAAGTACAAACAGAAACACATGAACTGAATAGTATATCAAATGAATAACAACCACACGGAAGGGGGAGGAGGTAGTGATCCATGAAACTTGTGCGTGGCTACACTATTTCAGTTGAAGACCAAAAGAACCACAAAGAAATCTTGAACCTTATTGGGCAAGTTTCTTGTTGGTAATCATATAGGTGTAGCAATTCTGAAATTGCTTTACCCATGTTGCAGGATTGACCAAAGAAGTAAACATTTTAATAATATTAGGAGGTAGGGTTCTCACTCTGGAAGAAAGAAGATATAAACACAGAAGGTGAGAAGGAAAGAAAGAACTGTAATATTTAATTTGAATTAGAGTGTCCATATAAATCCATGTTTTAAAAATAAATCTATTTTCTGTTCTGTCTATATTTGGTATGTCCTGATGTTATCCTCTGAGAAGGACACAACATCATTTACATACTGTAGTGGGTTGAACTGCAGACCCAAGAAGATATGCCCAAGTCCTAAACCCCCGGTACCTATGAATGTGACCTTATTTGGAAAAAAATGGGTCTTCTCAGATGTAACTACACTAGGGATCTCCAGGTGAGATTATCCTGGATTATCCAGATGGGCCCTAAATCCAATAATTCCCCTTATAAGCAGAAGAGAAACACAGGGAAGAAAGTCATGTGAAGACGCAGGCAGAGACTGGGGTTATGTTGTCACAGGCAGAGGAATGCCTGAAACTGCCAGGAACTGGAAGAGGCAAGAAAAGATTCTACCCTAGAGCTTAGGGGGTTTAGACCTACCAAGACCTTGATTTTGAATTCCTGACCTCCAGAACTATGAAAGAATACATTTATGTTGTTTTAAACTGCCAAGCTTTTGGTTACCCAGCAGATCTTGGAAATAGGTAGTATTCTTGCACTAAAAAAAAAAAAAAAAAAAAAAAAAAAAAAAAAAAAAAAAAAAAGGTAACCTGAATCATAGCATCAGGAAACTACCAATCAAAACTAATTCCAGGGACTTTCTTAAAATAATAACAACAGTTCTGCACTCTATGCATATAAATGTCATAAAAAAGAAAAAACAACAACAACAAAGAGAAGCTGAGGAGGTGAGATTAAAAGAAACTAGAGTAACATGGCAACTTAGATGCAAATGAATTGAGAAAAAGTAGTTATTATAAAGGATAGCATTATGATAATTGGAAATTTAAAAATAGAAAACTTAAATATGGGAAGTTGTTGGGGCTCATTCGAAGGACACGACTCTCAGTTGACCATGAGCTGGACTGGGACAATCGAAGGCTCCTCACCCCCTCGCATGTGCTTGGAATGTATGCTCTGCCTACCATTCCCACAGCTGGAACCGTTTCCAAGGAAGCAGCGTGAGAGAGCATGGTCTTATTGGGACCGTCTGGATGCTATATGTGACTGAATCCAGTTAAGGCCTCTATACAAACTTAAGATTCTGGTGGGCGAGTGCAGAGATCCACTCACCTTGTAGCTGCCCAGGACAAGCCTCATATGGTAAGTTCCCTTGCTTATTACCACCTGCCACCTGCCAATTAGGAATGGTCTCTTCTGTCTACTTTTGCCTCCAGGGACAGGGGCCAGTTTGGGAACCAAAAGCGTGTTTAGATAATAATACCAATGTGAATTTTCATGAATTTCATCATTGTACTGTGGTTATGCTAGAGAATATCTTTGCTCTTTGGAAACACACCCTAAAGTAGTTACGGATGAAGATTTATGATTACTGCAACTTACTTTTTAAAGGGGAAGGGTGTGAGAGAAAGAGAGAGAGAAAGTTGAAGGTTTTAAATATAAATATATTTTTGTAGGTCACTCGTCTGCCTATTTTCCCATAACGTGCAAATGATTTAGTTGGAGCACAGATAACACAAGGTTATTTTACAACAAGTTTAACTAACATTTGAAAATAAAAGTATTTATATTTTAATGAGATATATACACATTCCTGTAAAGATTTTCAATGGGGTCTTTAAAAATATGGGAATCCCTGGCCATATTTTAAAAATTGATATATAATTCACATCATAAAATCCACCCTAGTAAAGTACACAATACTTTTTGAATGATTTTTTATTATATTCACAAGCTCATATAACCATTGCCACTCTCTAATTCCATAACATTTTCTTCACATCAAAAAGAAGCTTCATACCCAATAGCAGACACTCCCCATTCTTCCCTCCTCCCTGTCACTGCCAATCACTAATATACTTTCTGTGTCCATGGATTTGCCTATTCTGGACATTTCATATACACGAAATCACACAATATGTGGTCTTTTGTGATGGCCCTTCTGTTAGCATAATGTTTTCAGGTTTGTTCATGTTGTAGCATGTCATAGTATTTCATTCTTTTTCATGGCCGAATAATATTCCACTGTATGAATATGCCACATTTTGGTAATTCATTCATAAGTTGATGGATATTCCAGTTGTTTTCGCTATTTGACTATTAGAAACAGTGGGCACACACCTAAGAGTGGAATTTCTGGGGCATATGATAATTCTTTGTTTGCTCTTTGAGGAACCACCCAACTGTTTTCTGAAGTGACTACACCATTTCTGGTCACATTTCTTCTACCATGTCCCTATATCTTCCTCTCTTCTATATCTCTTCTATATCTTCTGCCTTATTCTTTATCTTTCCTTCTCCAGTCTAACTGTAATTTTTTTAAAAAAATCAGAATTAGGATGCATAATTATTTGTTTACATTATATTAAGCATTCATCTAACGTGACAATATCTTAAGTTAATATCTGGTAATAATATTAGTAGCATAAAATAGAAACTGACTATCAGAGTCAATGAGTAGTTTTTCAGCTGGTACTCAGACAAGTTAAGGAAGAAATCCAAGGAAACCTTAGTAGGTAGTACTTTTGCTAATTTCCAAAGTAAATTAGAAGCACAGATATATTCTATACCTTAGTATAAACCTCAGATATAATTCGATCTATAGAACAGCCATGACACAATATATAAGGGAGACTACAATGAATAAAATACACTGAACATTCATTTCACAAGTGTTTCTACAGGATTCTACCATAAGACTTGATTAACTGGTAATATTGGATGAAATCATATTTTATATCTACATTTCAGGGAAGACAGTATAGAGTCATAGTTGTGATAATAGGCTCTGGGCTGCAATTCCAATCTTACTATGTACTAGCAATGTGATCCAAATTCTGAACTACAACTACCTCATTTTTAGAGTAACTTACTATATTGTATTTGTTATGAAAACTAAACGAAGCAATGGGTTTATATAAATCTTAAATGAAGCAATGTAGTCAGAACACTTAGTATAGTATAGGCACATAGTAGGCACTCAATAAACTGTTACAAAAAAATCACCTCTACTTAGGCTTAAGTTCTCTACCTATGTGAAGAAGCAACATCTTAAAAAAAAAAAAAAAAAAAAAAAAAAAAAACAGATGCAAAGAAATTCCTATTTAACCAGCTAAGATACTTGTGATTTTATACCACATAGCAAATTT